TTCCAACCATCTATGGATCTTAGACCAATATTTCTTAGCGATAGGGCATGTCCACCAGGCATGGTAATAAGTGCCTGGCTGTTGTTTACATTTCCAGCAAATATCCGAAACATTTTTAAACATTTTCGCTAAGCGCACTGGTGTCATATGCCATCTATAAAACATCTTACATAAGTTTTCTTTATATGCTACCATTTTTATAAGCTTAATATTTTTATCCCAAAGTTTTTGCCAGTCTTTGCCAGGTATTTATATGGTTTTTCCTCATGTGTGGATTCTTTGATGCTTAGAAAGACTTCCCTTCCCACTGAAGCTCTTTCCACACTCCAGGCATTTATATGGTTTTTCTCCAGTGTGGATTCTTTGATGTCTATAAAGGTGTCCCCTCTGACTAAAGCTGTTTCCACACTCCAGGCACTTATAGGGTTTCTCTCCAGTGTGAATTCTTTGATGTACATAAAGGTTTCCCCTCACATTGAAGCGTTTCCCACATTCAAGGCATTTATATGGCTTTTCTCCAGTGTGGATTCTTTGATGTGTATAAAGGTTTACCCTCCCACTGAAGCTCTTTCCACATTCCATGCATTTATAGGTTTTCTCTTCTAAGCAGATTCTTTGATGTATATAAAAGCTTCCCCTCTGACTGAAGCTCTTTCCACACTCCAGGCATTTAGGCTGTTTCTCTCCTGTGTGGATCCTTTGATGTTTATAAAAAGTTTCCCTCCGACTGAAGGCCTTTCCACACTCCAGACATTTGTATGGTTTCTCTCCAGTATGAATCCTTTGATGCCTATAAAGGTGTCCTGTCCGACTGAAGCTCTTTCCACACTCCAGGCATTTGTATGATTTCTCTCCAGTGTGGATCCTTTGATGACTATATAGAGTTCCTCTCAGTCTGAAGCTCTTTCCACACTCCAGGCACTTATGTGGTTTTTCTCCAGTGTGGATTCTTTGTTGTTGACGTAGAGCTCCACTCACAGTAAAGCTCTTTCCACATTCTAGGCATTTGTATGGTTTTTCTCCAGTGTGGATCCTTTGATGACTATAGAGAGTTCCTGCCCTGCTGAAGGTGTTTCCACACTCCAGGCATTTATGTGGTTTTTCTCCAGTGTGGATCCTTTGATGTCGATGGAGGTTTCCACTCAGAGTAAAGCTCTTTCCACATTCTAGGCATTTGTATGGTTTTTCTCCTGAATGGATCTTTTCATGTGTATAAAGGTTTGGCCTCAGACTGAAGCTCTTTCCACATTCCATGCATTTATAGTGTTTCTCTCCTGAGTGGATCCTTTGATGTACATAAAGGTGTGCCCTCTGACTGAAGCTCTTTCCACACTCCAGGCATTTATACGGTTTTTCTCCTGTGTGGATTCTTAGATGCTTGTTAAGATCTCCATTTCTTTTGAAGGATTTTCCACATTCTGGGCACTGATATTTCTCTCCTCCCTCCTGGATTCTCTGGGGATTCTGGAGTCTTCCGCCT